CGTGGAAACCAAGGCAGGACTCCAGGAGATCCCAGTGCTTCTCTCTCAGCCGCGTCACTGTTATTTGAAACCAGTGGAAACTGATGGAGGGCACTATAGCAACAGACGCTCATGTCTTGAGTGGAGAATCTGGCCATTGCCAGTACTCCAATATATATATATTTACAAAAGGTCGCGGGGCCACTGCCGTTTTAACCTCCGGGGAGGATTGTAGGGATGGCTGGAGCTAGATAGGGATTGTGCTACAGGATTTGGATGATGAGTGAGTTTCTGGTGAAATTTGGAAAATTTGTCTGGGATTAGGTCAATAACAAATGGGATATGAAGGTCATTATGGAGGCTTTTGTTGGATACATAGAAGGGAGCATCGACTATTGTTCGGAGGATTTTAGACTGGAAGGATTGAATGCGTTTGATGTTAGAAAGTTTTGCTGTTCCCCACAGTTCTATTCCGTAGGTCCAAATAGGTTTCAGGATTGTCTTGTAGATTAATAGTTTGTTGTCGACTGAAAGTTGAGATTTTCTATTCAATAGTCTATATAGTTGTCCGTATCGTCTGTTAAGTTGTTGTCTTTTAAGTCTGGTGTGTGGGTTCCATGTTAGTCTTTTGTCTAGAATAAAGCCGAGATACCGGACTGTGTCGGACAGAGGAAGTGGTATGGAGTTGAAGTAGACTGGTGGACAGGAATTGCGTCGAAGGGTAAAAGTAATATGTTTGGATTTGGATTCATTTATTTGGATTCGCCAGTTATTACATCAGTGTTCAATAAGAGAGAGGTGACTTTGTAGGTTTAAGGATGCTGTTTCAGGATCTGGATCGGAAGATAAGATGGCTGTGTCATCAGCGAATGTTGCCAGGAGTGTTTCAGGATGAGTAGGAATATCAACGGTAAACAGAATGTAGAGGACGGGACCCAAGACGCTGCCTTGAGGAACTCCCGCCTTGATTGAATGACAGTTGGAGGATTCTGTACCATAGCGAACTTGAAAGGAGCGGTCAGAGAGGTAGGATCGGAGGATAAGATATAAGGAATGGGGTAGATGGGATTTGAGCTTGAAGAGCAGTCCGGCGTGCGATACCCGATCAAAAGCTTGCGCAATGTCCAGGAATGCCCCGAACAATACTCTTTGCTTTCTAGGGCTGATTATATGTGGTCAACAAGTCGGAGTCCTTGTTGGACAGTGGAATGTTAGAAGCGAAATCCGAATTGGTGGGTAGGAAGGTTTTGGGATTCTATTCAGTAGGATTTTTTCAAAAATTTTGGAAAGGATTGGGAGTAGGCTAATTGGTAGATATGATTATGTATTATTGGAAGGTTTGCCAGGTTTCAAGAAAAGGACGATGGTGGAATGTTTCCATAAGAGAGGAAAATGGGTAGTTCTTAGGATGCAGTTGTATATGTATGTGAGGAATATGATTGCTTTGGGTGGTAGTTGATGAAGAATCTGTGGGGTTAGAAGGTCGTATCCAGGAGATTCGCGGGAAGATAGTTTTTGTAAATGACATTTGACCTCAGATGGATGAACTACTTTTGGTGGTAAAGTGAGTGGAATTGGTGAAGAAAGGAATTCTTCTACTATTGTAGTGTGGGTCGGATTGGATTCGGGATGAGGAGTAAATGTACTGGAAAGGTGTTTGGCGAATTCCTTAGCTTTGTCTTCAACAGACGCCGCCTAGGAGCCATCACCTCAACGAGGGGATGGGAAACATTATGGGTTTTTAGGATTTATTTGGTGATATTCCAGAGGGAGTTGTCGTGAGCAGAGAGGGAGGTAAGGAAGGAGTTAAAGGACTGGGATTTGAAGTTGGATAATTCTTGCTTTAGTTGTTTACAGAGATAGTTGCAGAAGCTGCGGTCGGTGGGATGTCTGGTACGTTGCCATAACAATATGGCACGGCATTGGTATGGATTAGATCGAGAATGTGATGAGGTAATTTATTTTTCTTTGAAGTTCTAGGGGAATGATTAGGAGAGGAAGCAGTCCAGACTGCTTGTTGAATGATGGTGGTTAAGGAATGTACAGCATTGTCAAGGTCTTCTGGGGTTTTCAGGGTTATTCTGAGGTCAATTTGATCGGAAAGGATTTGATGGAAGAGTTTCCAGTTGACTGGGCCTCTGATGAAGGACGGTGGGAAGGGTTTAGGAATAGGAGCTAGTGATACTTGGAATATTAATGGACTGTGGTCTGAGGAATAGTTTAGGGGACCTAAACCACTATGGATGAAGAAATCAAGGATATCGGAATTACGGTTAGGATCAGTGGCCCAGTAGGTAGGTGAGTTAGGGGGAGCGAGATTAAAATGTTGGGAATTGAGTGCAGACAGCAGTGTTCGACCTCGGGAATTCGTAGTTCTTGAACCCCATTGATGATGCTTGGCGTTTAAGTCTGCACCCAGGCTGAAATGGTGTCCTAAGGAATTGAGGAAGGAACTAAATTGGGTATTATAGGTGGATTGGTTGGGAGGGCAATACGCTGATGCTAGGGTAATAGGAAACGAGAAGATTTTGATTATGATAGCAGTGGATTGTAGGAAATCGTGTTTAGGTAATGGGAGTAGGTGATGAGAGAGGGATTGGTGTACAATGACTGCAGTGCCGGCATGAGCTCTACCGTCTGGTTGGTCATAATGAGCGTTTTACCTTAGGGAGATCCATGACTATTTGTGGTGTTTGGTGAACTAAAGATATGTGAGTAGGGCGTTCAATCCTACGTCACACCCTCCAGCATGTCTGGTGGTTCCCTACCTCCAGCAAGTCTGGAGGTCCCCTCCCTCCAGCAATTCTGGAGGGCCTCTCTCAGTATTGGTCAGCGAGTCCATCGGACTTAGCCGGGAGGAACTTCCAAGGAATTTCCAACGACCATCCCCACATCCGCCACCCGTGGGACGCACCCCATACGCGGTAATGAGCCCGCGCGAGGACATATTTAATTAATTGAGTAATTTTATAATATTTGATGAGCATGCTTTTTTTCTCTTTTACAGGTCTCATTTTTATTCACTAATTTTTTTTCCTTCCTCCCTTCATTTTTTAAATTTGCTCTAATTTTCTCACCTTTGAGGAAACTGACCAGGGAAGGGTTTGTGTTTTAATTTTGAAATACCCCCGGCCCCAACAATTATTGTAATTTTATATGTAAGGAATGGCTCTTTATACTTTATTTTATTGTAATCTATTTTAAATTTTAGCATTTGACGTTAGTGTATAATTGTTTTAATTCATTACTTCAGCAATTTTAATGTTTTAATTTGGCAATTTTAATTATAACCAAACAGAGATTGTTATGTAGACTGTTATTGTTGGTATCGGTATTATTCTCGCACTCCAGGATCGTGGTGGCGTTGCGGTCCTCAGTAGCTTGATGTCCTTATGGCGGTACTGCTGCCTGGCTTGGAGTATCGATGCTCAATTAAAAGTATTAAAAAATTTGGTCTTATTGTTGAAATGTATGAAAACTTGTGATTGTTATACCAATGATAGGTATTGTTTTTCCAGAACTGAAGAGGATCCCATTATTTATGTTCAAAAACAGGGATTGAAACGGTTTTGAAAAAATGGAATAAACAGAAGTTGTTCTAAGTCATTTAAGTGTATTTCATGACCTATTATCCGACTATGATTCATATCTTATGTTATCATATATAAAGGTCGACATATAAAAAAACATTGTAATATATATATACATTCAATCCTTTTTCATTTTTTTATATTAAAAAAAATTCCTTATGTGATTTTCAAGACCAACAATATTGCACTGGTGCCTTTCTGGTTGTAGCGCCTTTCTGGTTTGACCGGGTGGTCTTGCTTTTCAAGTTCAAAACCCATTAACCCCTATGCTTATATCTAGTCCTCAAATCCTACCGCTCAAATCGTTCCTTTCAAGTCCGGTGTGACACCGAATTCTCCACTTACTATCCAGTTGAGGGTGGTGTTCCACAAGGCAGTGCCTTAGGCCCAGTTCTCTACATCCTCTTCACTTCCGATATCCCTTCAAATCCTGATACATTCCTAGCTACATTTGCTAATGGTACTGCCATTCTATCCTCTCACTCAGCTCCTCAAATAGCATCCCGAAACCTACAATCTCACCTCTCCTTGATTGCGCAGTGGTGCAACAGCTGGCGCATCAAAATCAATAAATCAAAATGCAAACATATCACTTTCACCCTGTGACGCAGATCCTTTCCGCCAATCCTTTTTAATTCAATATCACTTCCTACTCAGATACAGCCCATCACCTTGGCTTCCTTTTTGACAAAAGACTATCCATATTCTCAAACTTTCACCAGACCCTATCCATCATCCAAACCCTCAAGCTCAATCCCTATCCAGCTCCCACCATCCCTACAATTCTCCTCGAAGGTTAAAACGGCAATGGCCCTAGATTTCTTGTATATATGCTTCTGGAGTCCTGGCTATGGCCAGCTTCTCCACTCAAGTCCTGAGCATCTGTGGCTCTACTGCCCTCCTTCAGTCTCCACTGGCTTACCAGTGACGCAGCTGAAAGAGAGGCACTGGGAACTCCTGGAGTCCTGCTCTGCCTTTCACTTTTGGAGGAGAAAGCTTGGCTCGGAGTTCTCTGGGCGAATGTAAATATTCTACATAGGAATGATTGTGTTAAGATGATTTATTTTATTTTTACTTATTGATTGATTTATTATTTCGCCTATGTATTATTTATGTATGTTATTCTATTTTTATATTTACTATTTCTTAGTTTGCTCATTTATTTTTATTTTTTTATTTTATATAAAAATAAATTACATCTGTGTGCGTGTGTGTGTGTGTGTGTGTGTGTGTGTGTGTGCGCGCGCTTGTGTATGTATATATATATATATATATATATATATATATATATATATATATATATATATATATATATATATATATTTGACATTAGTTTAAGTTTGAAATAAAAATTAACTTAATCCACAGGTTAATCAAATGACAATGACGTTCTTTTATAAAATTTCATTCTTTGTAAATTTCTGTTTTTAGGTTTTCCCAAGTAACTGAAAAACAATGCGGACTTTAAAACCACCAGATAAAAAGGTAAAAATAAAAATAATTAGATAATAAGTATATGGTATTGTGATAAACCATTGATCAACCACCAATTACCATAAATTTATCGTATAAATTAATCGTTACTCAAGGACGACTGTCATAATTGTAGTTTTAATAAATGGAAAGCTAGTTGATACATCAACAGTGTTTGTAAATGACTCATCGGTTATTATAAAATATTTTTTAAGATATGAGTGGTTCTGATCAGTTTAAGTAAGGGAGAGAAAGCAAGCGAACTAATGAAGTGCCTGGAACCGATGAGGATAGTTTTATCCGTGTTCAGCTTCAGTTCATTTTTTGTTTTTTTTTGCCCCCTTGTGAATATAGTCAATATCCTCTTGCTGTTTTCGGTTAGCCTCAGGTATCTCAGAATGTTTTAATGATTAGTAAATTTGGAGATCATCTCCATATAATTGGTATCGGGAGTGATGAATGGAGTCAAGAAGGTCGCTAATATTATTGGAGAAAAGAGTCGAAGAGAGTACTGTTGTATTTTAAAAAGCTGTTTTCTGGTCAGTCGAGTTTCCATAATTAGTACTACGTCGACGTTCTTTTCCAGTAGTGAAGCTGCTAGTTTTTATTTTAATGTTACTGGATAAATCCAAACAGCCAGCTGGAAAGTCAAGTTGAATTATTTTAGGTCATAATAAACTAAATATATTTACTAATTGCTTTTTTTTTTTTTTTTTTTTTTTTTTTTTTTTTTTTTTTTTTTTTTTTATTGAGTATTATAACAATCTGTCTGTTCGACATTGGTTATAGTGAGGTAGGATGACATTCACACCATATGTACAAAAAAATAAAATAAATAGAACAAAATAATAATCAAAAGTATATACAATAGACAATAAAATAAAATAACCTAAAAAATAAGAAAATTAAAACTAAGGAAAAAAAAAAAAAAATAACATGCATACCTATATACAATCAGGCGAGGGAACTCCAGGAGAACCCTGCGCTACTCTTCCAACCGCGTCACTGGTACTAAAGCCAGCGGAGATTGGTCGAGAGCACTTTAGCCACATACACACATGTCTTGAGTGAAGAATCTGGCCATTGCCAGAACTCCAATTTATATAATTTACAAAAGGTCGCGAGGCCACTGCCGTTTCAACCTTCTTGGAGGATTATAGGGATGGGAGATGCTTGATAGGGATTGTGCAAGAGGATTTGGGTGGTAAGTAAGGTTCTGGTGAAATTTGGAGAACTTTTCTGGGATAAGGTCTAGGACAAATGGGATGTTAAGGTCATGATGTAGGGTTTTGTTGGATACATAGAAAGGAGCATCGACTATTGTTCGAAGGACTTTAGACTGGAAGGATTGGATGCGCTTGATGTTAGAAACTTTTGCTGATCCCCACAGTTCTAGTCCGTAAGTCCAAATAGGTTTCAGTATTGTCTTGTAGATCAGTAGCTTGTTTTCAATGGAAAGTTTAGATTTTCTGCTTAGTAGTCGGTATAGTTGGCCGTATCGTCGGTTGAGTTCTTGTCTTTTGAGTCTAGTATGCGGGTTCCAAGTTAGTCTTCGGTCTAAATGAAAGCCAAGATACCGGACTGTGTCTGAATAAGGAAGCTGGATGGAATTAAAGAGTACTGGTGGACAGGAATTGCGTCGGAGTGTAAAAGTAATGTGTTGGCATTTAGATTCATTAACTTTAATGCGCCAGTTATTACACCAGTGCTCAATCAAGGTGAGATGACTTTGGAGATTTAAGGATGCTATTTCGGGATCAGAGTTGGATGATAAGATTGCGGTGTCGTCAGCGAATGTTGCAAGAAAAGTATCGGGATGAACAGGGATGTCAGCAGTAAAGAGGATGTAAAGCACGGGACCCAAGACGCTGCCTTGGGGAACACCGGCTTTAACGGAGTAGATATTGGAAAATTCTGTTCCACAGCGAACTCGAAAGGAGCGGTCAGAGAGGTAGGATCGGAGGACTAGGTACAAGGACTGAGGTAAATGGATTTTAAGCTTGGAGAGCAGTCCGGAGTGCCATACCCGGTCAAATGCCTGTGCAATGTCCAGAAAGGCACCCGAACAGTATTCCTTGTTTTCTAGGGCTGAGGAAATATGATCAACGACTCGGAGTCCTTGTTGAACAGTAGAATGTTGAGAGCGAAAACCAAACTGATGGGAAGGGATATTTTGGGATTCTATAATGGGTAGGATTCGTTTCAAAAGGATCTTTTCAAAAATTTTTGAAAGGATTGGGAGTAGGCTGATTGGTCTATAGGATGTTGAGCTATTGAGAGGTTTTCCTGGTTTTGGGAAAAGGATAATAGTGGAGTGTTTCCATAACAGAGGGAAGTGGGTGGTGCGTAGGATACAATTGTAGATATATGTAAGGAACATGACTGCTTTGGATGGAAGTTGTCGAAGGATTTGAGGTGTAAGGAGATCATGTCCAGGAGCTTTACGGAGGATTAGTTTTTTTAATTGAAATTTTACTTCGGAAGGATGAATAGCTTTTGGGGGCAAGGAAAGTGGGATTGGTGATGTAAGGAGTTCTTCTACTGTTACGGTGTGGGCAGGATGGGATTCCGGATGTGAAATAAATGTATTGGATAGGTGAATGGCGAACTCCTCAGCTTTATCTTCGTCAGATGCTGCCCAGGAGCCATCACCTCGTCGGAGAGGATGGGAAATGCGGTGAGGATTTAGGATTTTTGTTGTGGTTTTCCAAAGGGAATTGTCGCGAGAAGAGAGGGAGGATAGGTAGGAGTTGAAGGATTGTGATCTGAAGGTGGCTAATTCCAGTTTTAATTGTTTGCAGTAGTAATTATAGGAGCAGCGGTCGGTAGGATGTCGGGATCGTTGCCATAATAATCTGGCACGGCGTTTGGTGCGGATTAGGTTAAGGAGGTGTTGGGGTAGAATGGTCTTTATAGGAATTCTGGAGGAGTCTTTTGGAAAGGAGGCAGTCCAGGCGGCTTGTTGGATTGTGGTAGTAAAGGAATTTACGGCACTATCAAGGTCATCGGGAGTTTTGAGGGATATGTTGAGATCAATATTATCGGAGATTATTTGGCGGAAAAGGTCCCAGTTTACTGGGCCCCTAATGAATGACGGTGGAGAAGATTTGGGAACAGGTTCAAGTGAAACATTAAGGATTAGAGGACTATGGTCAGAGGAAAGTTCATTTAGACGTGTAATGGAACAATTGAGGGGACTTAAGCCGCTGTGGATAAAGAAATCTAGAAGATCAGGATTACGGTTGGGATCTGTGGGCCAGTAGGTAGGAGAGTTGGGGGAAAGGAGGTGAAAACGTTGGGAATTGAGTGCAGACAGCAGGGTTCGGCCACGAGAATTCGTGGTTCTGGAACCCCATTGTTGGTGCTTGGCATTTAGGTCTGCACCCAAGATGAAGTGATGTCCTAAGGAGTCGAGGAGAGAACTGAATTGGGCATTGGATATGGATCGGTTAGGAGGGCAATACGCTGATGCAAGAGTGACCGGAAAGGAGAAGGTTTTTATCACGATAGCGGTGGACTGTAGGAAATCATGTATTGGTAATGGGAGTAGGTGATGGGAGAGGGATTGGTGTACAATTACAGCAGTACCGGCATGTGCTTTTCCGTCAGGGTGGTCAGTACGATATGTCAGGTATTGTGGTATATTGAAGTGCTGTTTAGTGGTTAGTCGAGTTTCAGTAATTAGTGCTACATCAATGTTCTTGTCAAGTAGTAAAGTAGATAGTTCGTCTGTATGATTTCTAACACCATTCGCATTCCAAAGGAGAATGGATATGGGTTTAGGGATGTGAGTCATTTAAGGATTTTTCAAAGGAGGGATGAGGTGAGATACGAGATTCGTGAGGAGTGATATGAGTGGAGTAACAAGGGATTTGAAATCGGTGAGGAAAGATGCTAACAAACTTGTGAGATCTGTTGCATTTGAAGGAGGAGGAATATGAGGAATTTGTTGTTGGTGGTTAGGTATATTAGGATGAAGAGGATTTTGAGGTTGGGTTTGAGGTTGTTGTTGTGGCAGGGCTTGACATTTATCGGTTAAAGTCTTACCTCTAAGTAGTTGGGAGAATGATACATCATTGTTTACAATTCTGGAAGGCTCTCTCTCTCTTCTTGTTCTTAGTGCTTCATCTTGAATCCGGTTTTTCTGGTGTCTGGTTTTGAGATTCTTGTAAATTTGGCAGCCTTTGTAGTTGGCCGGGTGTCCCTCCAAGCATAGGGCACATACTGCTGGATCTTGTATAGGTTTGGTGCACTCTACAGATTTGTGCTGTTCACCGCACTTCACGCAACGCGGCAGATGGTGGCAATATGTCTTCGTGTGGCCATAGGTCTGACAATTATGGCACTGCACGATGTCTCTCTTGGGATATGGCTTCTCAACTTTCACCATTGTATAGTATATTCTTGTGATATCATATATTTTTTCGATACCTGGTGATGGCTCCAAGTCCACGAAAAACAATGGTAGTGGGATCCTATTTCGTAATCCTGGCTGTTCCCTGTCCTCCTTCAAAACGTTTGTTACCTGGCGTACATTGAAACCAAGCGTCGTTAGTTCTTCTTTAATAACTTCAGTGGGGGTTGAGGAATGTAAATTTCTTATCACCACTCGTAAATCTCTTTCCTGCCTCAGCTGGTAAGTGTGAAAATTCGCATTTGTTTCTGATAAGAACTTCACTATTTTTCGGTAGGCTTCTGCAGAATCAGGTGTTATCTTGGTGTCATTGGTCCTGTTAAGGCATGAATAACTGCCAGAGCAGATTTTATTTAGTTGGGTGCAGAACATCTGGAAATTTTTTATATTTTTCACAAATATCGGAGGAGGCTTTGGTTCTCTGGGTATTGCTGCAGACTCCATTACTTCTTTGTCATTTTGAAGCACTTGGTAGGGGTTTGGAGTAAAGAAAGGTGATTCTTCAATCGTTTTTTGTGCAGACGTACCTGGTTGGGGCTGAGGTTCTGGTTCTGAAGTGTTCATTTTGGTCACTGGAGGTATTTCTCGTAGGCAGCGA